CATGCGGTTCCACCCCCCATTCTTTTGGCACACCCCTTCACACGTTTCGTGGCCCCATAGGGAGCTCCACCGAAGGCCCCAGTGGCTGCGCCCGCATGCGGTTCCACCCCCCATCTTGGCACACCCCTCACACGTTTCGTGGCCCCATAGGGAGCTCCACCGAAGGCCCCAGTGGCTGCGCCCGCATGCGGTTCCACCCCCCATTCTGGCACAACCCTCACACGTTTCGTGGCCCCATAGGGAGCTCCACCGAAGGCCCCAGTGGCTGCGCCCGCATGCGGTTCCACCCCCATTCTGGCACACCCCTCACACGTTTCGTGGCCCCATAGGGAGCTCCACCGAAGGCCCCAGTGGCTGCGCCCGCATGCGGTTCCACCCCCCATTCTGGCAGACCCCTCACACGTTTCGTGGCCCCATAGGGAGCTCCACCGAAGGCCCCAGTGGCTGCGCCCGCATGCGGTTCCACCCCCCATTCTGGCACACCCTTCACACGCTTCGTGGCCTCATAAGGAGCTCCACCGAAGGCCCCATTGGCTTGCGCCGCAGGCGGGTTCCACCCCCCATTCTGGCACAAGCATCCCTCACACGTTTTTCGTGGCCCATAGGGTGTTCTCCGAAGCCCCATATTGGCTGCGCCCGCATGCGGTTTCCACCCCCCATTCTGTCTTCACGCCCTCACAACGTTTCGTGGCCCATAGGAGCTCACCGAAGGCCCAGTTGCTGCGCCCTGCTGCGGTTCCACCCCCCGTTCTGGCACACCCCTCACACGTTTCGTGGCCCCATAGGGAGCTCCACCGAAGGCCCCAGTGGCTGCGCCCGCATGCGGTTCCACCCCCCATCTGGCACACCCCTCACACGTTTCGTGGCCCCATAGGGAGCTCCACCGAAGGCCCCAGTGGCTGCGCCCGCATGCGGTTCCACCCTCCATTCTGGCACACCCCTCGCACGTTTCGTGGCCCATAGGGAGCTCCACCGAAGGCCCCAGTGGCTGCGCCCGCATGCGGTTCCACCCCCCATTCTGGCATACCCCTCACACGTTTCGTGGCCCCATAGGGAGCTCCACCGAAGGCCCCAGTGGCTGCGCCCGCATGCGGTTCCACCCCCCATTCTGGCACACCCCTCACACGTTTCGTGGCTCCATCGGGAGCTCGACCGAGCGCCCCAGTGGCTGCGCTCGCATGCGGTTCCACCCCCCCATTTCGGCACACCCCTCACTCGTTTCGTGGCCCGGGGGCGCCACCGAAGAATATATCCACAATTGCGGTATTCACAACTACGTATGGTTGGGTCTTTCGTCAGGCTAATTTTTTTTGTATTTTTTATTCCCAACCATCCTGTGGTGTTGGGTCCTCGTTTTGAAGAGACGGTGCCCCGCGTTCCCCTCCTTCCTCTCCTCCTCCCTCCTCCCCGGGGTGTTCGCATGCGGTTCCCCCACCCAGGGCAGCGTTTCGTGGCCCCATAGGGAGCTCCACCGAAGGCCCCAGTGGGGGTGTTCGCATGCGGTTCCCCCCCCCAGGGCAGCGTTTCGTAGCCCCATAGGGAGCTCCACCGAAGGCCCCAGTGGGGGTGTTCGCATGCGGTTCCCCCACCCAGGGCAGCGATTCGTGGCCCCATAGGGAGCTCCACCGAAGGCCACAGTGGGGGTGTTCGCATGCGGTTCCCCCACCCAGGGCAGCGTTTCGTAGCCCCATAGGGAGCTCCACCGAAGGCCCCAGTGGGTGTGTTCGCATGCGGTTCCCCCACCCAGGGCAGCGCTTCGTGGCCCCATAGGGAGCTCCACCGAAGGCCCCAGTGGGGGTGTTCGCATGCGGTTCCCCCACCCAGGGCAGCGTTTCGTAGCCCCATAGGGAGCTCCACCGAAGGCCCCAGTGGGGTGTTCGCATGCGGTTCCCCCACCCAGGGCAGCGCTTCGTAGCCCCATAGGGAGCTCCACCGAAGGCCCCAGTGGGGGTGTTCGCATGCGGGTCCCCCACCCAGGGCAGCGTTTCGTGGCCCCATAGGGAGCTCCACCGAAGGCCCCAGTGGGGGTGTTCGCATGCGGTTCCCCCACCCAGGGCAGCGTTTCGTGGTCCCATAGGGAGCTCCACCGAAGGCCCCAGTGGGGGTGTTCGCATGCGGTTCCCCCACCCAGGGCAGCGTTTCGTGGCCCCATAGGGAGCTCCACCGAAGGCCCCAGTGGGGGTGTTCGCATGCGGTTCCCCCACCCCGGGCAGCGTTTCGTGGCCCCATAGGGAGCTCCACCGAAGGCCCCAGTGGGGGTGTTCGCATGCGGTTCCCCCACCCAGGGCAGCGTTTCGTGGCCCCATAGGGAGCTCCACCGAAGGCCCCAGTGGGGGTGTTCGCATGCGGTTCCCCCACCCAGGGCAGCGTTTCGTAGCCCCATAGGGAGCTCCACCGAAGGCCCCAGTGGGGGTGTTCGCATGCGGTTCCCCCAACCAGGGCAGCGTTTCGTGGCCCCATAGGGAGCTCCACCGAAGGCCCCAGTGGGGGTGTTCGCATGCGGTTCCCCCACCCAGGGCAGCGTTTCGTAGCCCCATAGGGAGCTCCACCGAAGGCCCCAGTGGGGGGTGTTCGCATGCGGTTCCCCCACCCAGGGCAGCGTTTCGTGGCCCCATAGGGAGCTCCACCGAAGGCCCCAGTGGGGGTGTTCGCATGCGGTTCCCCCACCAAGGGCAGCGTTTCGTAGCCCCATAGGGAGCTCCACCGAAGGCCCCAGTGGGGGTGTTCGCATGCGGTTCCCCCACCCAGGGCAGCGTTTCGTGGCCCCATAGGGAGCTCCACCGAAGGCCCCAGTGGTGGTGTTCGCATGCGGTTCCCCCACCCAGGGCAGCGTTTCGTAGCCCCATAGGGAGCTCCACCGAAGGCCCCAGTGGGGGTGTTCGCATGCGGTTCCCCCACCAGGGCAGCGTTTCGTGGCCCCATAGGGAGCTCCACCGAAGGCCCCAGTGGGGGTGTTCGCATGCGGTTCCCCCACCCAGGGCAGCGTTTCGTAGCCCCATAGGGAGCTCCACCGAAGGCCCCAGTGGGGGTGTTCGCATGCGGTTCCCCCACACAGGGCAGCGCTTCGTGGCCCCATGGGGGGGGGGGGGTGACGCTCCCCCGAAAAAAAGCCCCCCCCCCCCCCCCCCCCGTGGCGCTTCTTCGCATTGCGCTTCCTCCCCCACCCAGGGCAGAGTTTCGTGGCCCCATAGGGAGCTCCACCGAAGGCCCCAGTGGGGGTGTTCGCATGCGGTTCCCCCACCCAGGGCAGCGTTTCGTAGCCCCATAGGGAGCTCCACCGAAGGCCCGCCCCGGTGGCGCAGTCCGCATGCGGTTCCCCCATCCAAGGCAGCGCTTCGTGGCCCCATATGGAGCCCCACCGAAAGCGGCACCCACAACGCGTTACCAACAATTGCTTATGGTTGGGTCTCTCGCCAGGATAATTTTTCGTCGAAAACCCCCCTGTAGGCGGACACGCCCGACTGAAGCCGAACGCCCTGGGGTCGCCGGAGGTCTCCGGATCCCCGGTGGCCTCCATGCATGGAGGCTTTGTGTTCGGAGGCCCCGGAGAGGAGGATCAGAGCGTTCAGAGACGTCGGATCCTCCTTCGATCCTGGATCCGCCGATCGATCCGATTCGATGTCGGCTCCAGCTGGCCCAACCCGATCCGATCCCGACATATTCTGACGATCCGGTGCGGCCTGAAGTTTGCATGTCCCTGTCGTGCATCCTGGAGCAGCCGATTCCCGGCGTCAGCCCAACACATTATAATACTATGTGTGCATCGCCCCGCCAGGGGCGACGCGCGCGCGCCGAGAATTCTTACAGTAACCCTGGCGGGCGATTTGTGGCCATTCGGCTCTTGCAACGGCATTCTACAAGTCAGGAGGGGAAGAACACACAGACATAATTAATCTTCGGTTCCCACGAAAATATGCAAAAATATGGGCAGTGGGGGGGAAAACAGAAACCAAAAAAGTATAGGAAAATATGGGGAACCTTTTGATAGGTGTGTATTTATTTGTGTGTCCTGGGGCCCCTTCAACAAGATGTCTGTACTGCAGGTTCGGTTCGGCCCGGCGCCTCCGGGGAGGGCACACGGTGCTGCTAGTCTGCCCTGCTGCGTCCCAGATCCGATTCGATTTTGGCTCCGGCGATGTGATGACAGCGACGTCAAAACGCACGATTTGTTAACACGTTTTTCGGCTCGCCACCTGAGAACTACTCAAATGGGCACGCAGACCGCTGTGGCTGCGCGCGGGCCTGGGGCGCGGTGAGAACCCTGAGCCAAATGCTGCTACAGGCATGTCGTGAAAAGGGTAAGTAAGCAAGGACCACCGACGTACGTGTCGATTCGATCCGCTCTCCCGATTCGATGCTGGCCGATCCTGCCAGGGCGAGGGCCTCGGCTTCGAGGCCGCGGGCAGCGTGGCCGCGGAGCTGCTGCTGTCCTCGCTGGTGGGGCTGCTGCTGGGGCAGGTGCAGGAGGGAACAAAGCAGGCACGCACGCACTCGCACACTTTTGGCGGCAGCGGCCTCGCGCGCGTGGGCGCGCGGCAGCTGGGCCCTCAAGCACCGCTTAGAATGCGGACCTGCCGACGATACCACACACACACCAAAACACTTGCACTTGCACTTACACTTACGCTTGCACTTACACTTGCAACACTCACGCTTACGCTTGCACATGCGCACACCCATGACGCTGGTCTGCAGGAAAGTGTGGAACATATAGGGAAAGTGCGCCAGTGGATCTCCCTGAATACACTAAAGGGGGGGGGGGTCCAGAACCCCCCCCCCCCTCACACCCTTGGCGCTGGAAAGGGGGGGGGGTCGGACCCCCCCTCCCCTGGTGTAGGGAGTACGGAGCTGGGAGTAGGGAGTGGTGAGTAGTAAGTAGTGAGTCAGTGCGTAGTGAGTAGTGAGTATTGGGTAGTGAGTAGTGGGTAGTGAGTGGCGAGTAGGGAGTAGGGAGTAGGGAGTGGGGAGTAGTGAGTAGTGAGTAGTGAATAGTGAGTAGTGTGTACTGATAAGTGGGTAGTGAGTGGCGAGTAGTGAATAGTGAGTAGTGAGTACCGAGTAGCGAGTAGTGAGTTCTGAGTAGGGAGTAAGGAGTAATGAGAAGTGAGTAGTGGGTAGTGAGTAGTGGGTGGCGAGTAGTGGTTAGTGAGTAGTGAGTAGTGGGTAGTGCGTAGTGCGTAGGGAGTAGTGAGTAGTGTAGTGGGTAGTGAGTAGTGAGTAGTGAGTAGCGAGTAGTAAGTAGTGGGTAGTGAGTAGTGAGTAGCGACTACTGAGTTGTACGTAGTACGTAGTGCGTAGTGGGTAGTGAGTAGTGAGTAGTGATGAATAGAGAGTATTTGGTAGAGACACTGGGTAATGAGTAGTGAGTAGCGAGTAGGGAATAGCGAGTAGTGAGTAGCAAGGAGCGAGTAGGGCGTAGTGAGTAGTGAGTAGTGAGTAGTGAATAGGGAGTAGTCAGTAGTGAGTAGTTGGTGGTGATTAGTGAGTAACGAGTAGGGAGTAGCGAGTAGTGAGTAGTGAGTAGGGATTAGGGAGTAGGGAGCAGCGATTAGTAAGAAGTGGGTAGCGATAAGTGGGTATTGAGTAGCGATTGGTGAGTAGTGGGTATTGAGTAGCGGGGATGGGAGTAGCGAGTAGTGAGTACTGAGTACTGTGTAGTCAGTATTGTGTAGGGAGTAGGGAGTAGCGAGTAGCAAGTAGTGGGTAGTGAGTAGTGATTTGTGGGCAATGAGTAGTGAGTAGTGAGTAGTGGATAGTGGGTAGTGGGTAATGACTAGTGATTAGTGAGTAGGGAGTAGGGGTGGTGAGTAGTGCTTAGTGAGTAGTGAGTATTGAGTAGTGGGTAGTGAGGAGTGAGTAGTGAGTAGTGAGTAGTGAGTAGGGAGGAGGGAGTAGTGAGTAGGGAGTAGTGAGTAGCGAGTAGTGGGTGATGGGTAGTGAGTCGTGGATAGTGAGTAGTGTGTCATGAGTAGTGAGTAGGGGGTAGTGAGAAGTGAGTAGCGGATATCGAGTAGTCAGTAGTGGGTAGTGAGTAATGAGTAGTGAGTACTCTTTGGGGCTGGGGTTAGTGGTGGGGGTTCGGATTAGGGGTTTGGGTTAGGGTGAGGACTAGGGGTAGGGGTGGCGGGGTCGGGTTCCGGAGTCAGGGGGCGGCGTGGCAAAAGGGGGGAGAGGAGGGGGTGCGGACAAAGGGGGGGAGGGGGGGGGTTCGGACCCCCCCCCCCCTTTTGAAAGGAGGGGAGGGGGGGGTCCCCGACGACGGATCGGGGAAAGGGGGGGATGGGGGGGGGTCCCCGACGACGGATCGGGGAAGGGGGGGGAGGATGGGTCCCCGACGACGGATCGGGGAAGGGGGGGGGGGGTCCTACCCCCCCCCCCCTTAGGGAGATCCAGCGGCGCACCCTCACATATAGGCCATGGATGGGGGCGAGGAGCATGTAGGAAATATGGAGAAGTATTAGACATCTAGGAGCTTGTGCCGAATTGTTGCGAAGGCCTTACGGCCGGTGCCGCCATCCCTGAAGGGGGACGTCGACGACGGCGGCGGCGGCGACGTCCACGACGACGTTACCCTCCTGTGATGTGCCCTCCTGCTGCGAGGGGTGCAGTCGGATACAGAGGCGAGAGCGTCTCTGCCCGTACGCCTCTAAACTGCTCCAGCCAAGGTTGGGCCAGCTTGAGCAACGAACTGACAAAATCAGCGGGGACTACTGGGTGGAAAAAGAGTTGATCTGCAGACAAATATGGAAAACATGGCAATGGAGGGGAACAGGAAAACCCATGAAACATCAACACGCATAAGTTTACGTACACCTATATATATATATGTATGTGTATATATATGTATATATATATATGTACACACGAAACTTGAGGTTCGCTGCGCTTCGCTCAAAGACTTGGCATGGTGCGCGAGTGCTCGCCGTTCGAGTCGCCCAGAATCTGTCGGCTCCAGATATCGGCGATGGGCTGGCCTGGGGTCGGAAATTCGGGGGCGGGAGGACGCGGGACACCTGGGGGTGCGCTCGCGCCGAAGCTTGAGAGGGGCGATGGCACCGCTCATCGGCAGTGTTGATGTTTTTTTCAGACGTTTTCCCCCCTCCTCTTCTCTGCCTAATTCAAGCTTCGCGCGGCCCGCGGATCAGCAAGTTTTTCCTGCGTTGGGTTCTCGTTTTGAATAGAGTTCTGCTCGCGCGTCGCCTTTCTTACTTCTTCCTTCCTTCCCGCCCCTCTCTTCCCCCTTGCCTTTTGCCTCGCTCGTCGCTGCGTGCCAGCTGGGGGGCTGCGATCTGTGAAACTGTCGCCACTTTCGAGGGCTACTGGGGGGCCCAGTACAGTGGGTACACACGGCGGAATCAAATGGGACCTCGCCATCCCTGGGGGGCTGCGATCTGTGAAACTGTCGCCATTTTCGAGGCCTGCTGGGGGGCCCAGCACAGTGGGTACACACGGCGGACTCAAATGGGACCTCGCCATCCTTGGGGGGCTGCGATTTGTGAAACTGTCGCCACTTTCGAGGGCTGCAGGGGGGGCCAGCGCAGTGGGTACACACGGCGGACTCAAATGGGACCTCGCCATCCCTGGGGGGCTGCGATCTGTGTGAAACTGTCGCCACTTTCGAGGCCTGCTGGGGGGCCCAGCACAGTGGGTACACACGGCGGACTCAAATGGGACCTCGCCATCCCTGGGGGGCTGCGATCTGTGAAACTGTCGCCACTTTCGAGGCCTGCTGGGGGGCCCAGCACAGTGGGTACACACGGCGGACTCAAATGGGACCTCGCCATCCCTGGGGGGCTGCGATCTGTGAAACTGTCGCCACTTTCGAGGCCTGCTGGGGGGCCCAGCACAGTGGGTACACACGGCGGACTCAAATGGGACCTCGCCATCCCTGGGGGGCTGCGATCTGTGAAACTGTCGCCACTTTCGAGGCCTGCTGGGGGGCCCAGCACAGTGGGTACACACGGCGGATTCAAATGGACCTCGCCATCCCTGGGGGGCTGCGATCTGTGAAACTGTCGCCACTTTCGAGGCCTGCTGGGGGGCCCAGCACAGTGGGTACACACGGCGGACTCAAATGGGACCTCGCCATCCCTGGGGGGCTGCGATCTGTGAAGCTGCCGCCACGTTCGAGGCCTGCTGGGGGGCCCAGCACAGTGGGTCTGTGAAACTGTAACCATTTTCGAGGCCTGCTGGGGGGCCAACACGGTGGGTACACACGGCGGACTCAAATGGGACCTCGCCATCCCTGGGGGGCTGCGATCTGTGAAACTGTCGCCAGTTTCGAGGGCTGCTGGGGGGCCCAGCACAGTGGGTACACACGGCGGACTCAAATGGGACCTCGCCATCCCTGGGGGGCTGCGATTTGTGAAACTCGCCACTTTCGAGGGCTGCTGGGGGGCCCAGCGCAGTGGGTACACACGGCGGACTCAAATGGGACCTCGCCATCCCTGGGGGGCTGCGATCTGTGAAAGTGTCGCCACTTTCCGAGGGCTGCTGGGGGGCCCAGCACAGTGGGTACACATGGCGGACTCAAATGGGACCTCGCCATCCCTGGGGGGCTGCGATCTGTGAAACTGTCTCCATTTTCGGGGCCTGCTGGGGGGCCCAGCGCAGTGGGTACACACGGCGGACTCACATGGGACCTCGCCATCCCTGGGGGGCTGCGATCTGTGAAGCTGCCGCCACTTTCGAGGGCTGCTGGGGGGGCCCAGCACAGTGGGTAGTTACCGCAGACTGAAATTAGACCTCGCCATCCCTGGGGGGCTGCGATCTGTGAAACTGTCGCCACTTTCGAGGGCTGCTGAGGGGCCCAGCGCAGTGGGTACTCACCGCTGATTCAGATTAGACCTCGCCATCTCTGGGGGGGCTGCGATCTGTGAAGCTGTCGTCACTTTCGAGACCTGTTGGGGGGCACAGCACAGAAGGCATTCACCGCAGACTCAGATTAGACCTCGCCATCCCCGGGGGGGCTGCGATCTGTGAAACTGTCGTTATTTTCGAGGCCTGCTGAGGGGCCCAGCACAGTGGGTACTTACCGCAGACCCAGATTAGACCTCGCCATCTCTGGGGGGGCTGCGATCTGTGAAGCTGTCGCCACTTTCGAGGCCTGCTGGGGGGCCCAGCACAGTGGGCTTCCTGCACGTCTTTCTCGTGCTCTTCGTTTCTCCGGCTCTTCGTGCACGTCATGTCCTCTTCGAGCCTGTAGTTGTCGCCCCTCGTTCTTGCACGGTTCTCCTGCGCATCATTCCATAGGCGCGTGTCCCAAGTAGCTTACAGATCAAACAACGGATCCTGCAATTTGATTGTCCGTGCAAGTTTCTGCCAACTCGTCGCTTCCCATGATACAAATGGGTTGGGTACGTCACAGGGTAATTTGTTCAGACGTTGTGAGTCGGCGGTCCCGACGCCGCGCTATCCCGTGTCCGAGCGACGGGGGGGGGATCCCCGTGCTCGCTGTGAAGAGTATTGCGTGGCGCTCGCTGGGCGGGTTGCGCCGTGGGTGCTTCTCAATGCTTCGACATCTTGGCATGCTTTTCTTGCTCGCCGCGGTGGTGAAAGCGCCGTCGAGGAGGTCGTGGAGATGGATTGGGATGTGGGTCGAAGGGCGCGAGGTGTGGGGGGTGGAAAAGATTGGGGGGTCCCCAAAAGGGGAGGCGAGGCACCGTTGCCAGGAGTTGTTTGGGAGCCTTTTCGGGCTTCGTCGGGGCCTTTCGGCGCGCGTTGGGGGCCTCGTGGGAGCCTCTTGGGCGGTCTCTGGGGGGAACACGGAGGGCTCGGGCGCTGGTCGGAGGCGCGAGGTGCAGGGGGCTGGACAGGTGACGGCGGGGCCCCGCGGGAGCGTCTTGGGAGGAGCCGTGGAGGAGACAGAGGGCTTAAAATCCCGTCGGAGGTGTGGGGTGCAGGGGGTTGGGAAGGTAAGGCGCGGGGTGCAGGCGGTCGGGGAGGTGGCGGGGGTCTCTGAGCAGGGGAGGCGAGGCAACGTTGCTAGGAGTTTGCGGGAGCCTTTTGGGGACCGTATGGGGTACCTCTGGGCGGCTGAAGCGTCTTGGGGTTTCTTCGGGGCTTCTTTGGGGCTTCTTGGGGATTTGGGGAACAATTTAGGGCCTCTTAGGGAGTCTTGGGGGCCCCTCGTGACCCTGTCGGAGGGCCTCTTCGGGGCCATTTTGAAACCAGGGAGGTTCATCGGATGCGGGAACGAGAGTCGGTCTCTCGGGGGCGTGCTCTGGGGCCTCTGAAGCCCTCCGGGGCTGTCTTGGTGGCGTTTGGGGCCGTGTCGACGCCGATCTTGGGCCGCTCCGCGAGGTCCAGAAGGCCCAAGTGGCGGCCCAAGTGGGGGCTCCACGAGGTCTGAGAGGCCCAAGTGGCGGCCCGAGTGGGGGACCAGAGAGAGCCGGGACCCCTGGGGCCTCTGGGGCCCGCCAGATCCTAGTGGGGGAAGGGGGGGCGCCCATCTGTGTCAGTCTGTGTATGTGTGAGAGATAGCTAAGATTCGGAGGTGGATAGACCTCCTCCCCTGACACGTCGATTAGAGAATTGGCCGTTTTCGGTTTGCGAGAGGGCGTCGCGGCCGTCATTTTTGCGGGGCCAGGCCCGTCGGTTTGGGTCCCAGGCCGTGTTCACTAAGGGGAGGTTTACCAAAGGGAGGTTTGTCCACCGCCGAAAGATAATTAGGGATATGTAATAATATCGAGCTTCGAGCTCAGCTCCAGCGCTGGCGCCGCGTCGCTGGTGGCGCTGCTGGGTCCCAGCCCGAACTTCAGCGCCCCCCTCATGCCCGCCTTCAGCCGCTCCATGCACGCACCGTGCTCGCGGGCGCACCGTGTCAGTCTCTGTGTGTGAGACCACTCGGATAGAGGATTACATGGAACTCTGGTTTATCGTATGAGCCCTTCGTGAAGTAACACTCGCCCCCTGCCGGCTCTGTCGGGAGCCGCGGCAAGCCAGTTCTGTAGTCCATCCCCTGCGCGGAGCCGCCAATCAGGAGGGGCAGGAGGATGAGGAGGATGAGGAGGAGGAGGAGAAGGAGGAGGAGGAGGAGGAGGAGGAGGAGGAGGGAGGAGGAGGAGGAGGAGGAGGAGGAGGAGGAGGAGGAGGAGCAGGAGGAGGACGAGCAGTCGGGAACTCCTCCCGACTCCTCCGTGCCTCCCCGGGGCCCCTCTGCAGGCGCTGCGTCTGGTGCTCCCCGCCGAGCGCGCGGGCGGGGGCGCGCCTGAGGCCGGCGGCGCCGGCCCGGCGGCGCCGATGCTCTCCGCCGAGGGCTCGCCGCTCGCGGAAGCGGGCGCGACGGAAGCGGGCACGGAGAGGAAGGGCGTGTCTATCGGGGGCGGCAAAGAGGGTGGCGATGTTCAGGGTGCCGAACGAAAAGGGGGGACAGGGAAAGGGGTGTGTGCGAAATCTGCTGCATGCAGCTGGTTTCGGCCCCGCCGCCGGGCCCATGCCTCGATGCGTGGGCGCGCCTCCCGGCGCCGGGAGGCGCAGGGGAAATCAGCTACGTGAGCTGATTCTCAAACCCGCCCTTTGCTATCCCCCCCTTTCGCCCGGCCCGAGACAAGGGGGGGTGGGTTCTCATGGCTGGGGCCATCCTATTTCCCCCATGCTTCGTGGCGCCTCTTCTTGTTTCATTGCGTTCCTGGCCCCCCCGCTGGGCGCGCACATGCCGCCGGTCATGATTTGCACCCCCCCTCTTGGACACCCCCCTCTTGGCCGCTCCCGAAGGATGGGCGTGTACCTGGCATCCCTCGGACGCGTGTATTTTTTTTTCTCGGCGAGGACCCTTGAGGAACATCCTGGATCATCGAGCGAAAAAGAAAACACGCGCGAAACCGCAAATGGATGGGAAATGGACGTCCGAGCGACGGCAAGATCTATCGAAGTGGGCACGGAGAGGAAGGGCGTGTAGCAGGGCTGGACCTAAAGTTCGTGGGCCGTTTTCGTTTCGACTTCGTTTTGCGGTGGAGGTGGATTGAAGACAAAACGAGGGAAAACGAAAACAACATGAAAACGGAAAACACCGTTTAGGTTCAGCCCCGGCGTGTAGCATGCCGCAGATGCAGTTCAGAGTGAGGGGGCGTGTGCGGGTGGGTCGCGGAATGGGTCGCGGAATGGTTCGCGGGCGGGTCGCGGGGCAGGTCGCGGATGGGTCGCGGGGCGGTGCGCGAGTGGGACGACGACTTCTCACACGGAATCCGCGCCGCGGAGCTCCACTTCGGCCACGCACCCAGGGACGGTGAATGACTGTTCGGCCCCCTCATTCTGTCGAACATCGACAGCATTTCCTCGTCGTTTTGAGCAGGACTAGCTGTCTGTGTCGTCAAGGACGCTGTTCATTTGAGAAAGAAGGCCCAGAGGCGGCGCCAGCCCGGGGGCGCCGATGCTCTCTTCCGACGGCTCGCCGCTTTCGCAGAGCTGCGCCAGTGAATCAGAGAGGAAAAATGTCGATGCTGCTATGCTACCCTTGCCTCGTTTTCGGAGTTTTTGGCATCCTGGGAGGCCCTCGTCGCCACGGCTGGATTCGCTTCGAAATTGTGATCAGAGCGCACCCTTGGAGAGGTCCGGGAGGTAGCGGTATCGGTGCCTGATGGGGGTGCCGATGCTCTCCTTCGAGGGCTCGCCGCTCTCGGAGACTCCTTCAGGCAAGAGTGCCAAGCAGTGCGAAGCGTCCTGGCTGGCCTATTCCGATAACCGATTGTGGTTTGCACGAACATTTCTGGTTGATATTGTCTTGTTGTACACAGCTCGTCTCATGATCTAAGAACATTGCTGGTTATTTGAGCAGCCTTTTGTTCTAAGTACATGTTGTGGTAGTATCATAAGAATGCTGAGATGGTCGGTCCCTGATCAAGCGGGAGGGGGTTCTCCACAACGGCGAACATATCCTTACCCGCGCCCTCGCAGTCTGTATTCTGGGGGGCGATCCCGCGGACGCGCGGTCGCACGGATACGTTCCGCGCGGGGCGTCCGCGAAAAAAACGGCCCGTACCTCGCTTGGGGTTGGTGGCTCCGGATGCTTTATGTGCACCGTACCACGTTGGCGTCTCTCGAGGCGTCGTCGATTCTCGACCTGGGTATGGTAGGGCGCACGGCTTTGCGGCCCCCGAGCCGAAATAATTGTATCATGCACCGTACCGCGCTGAAGCGGGGTGTCAAGGGAGTCCAGACATGGTACGATGTATGGGCGTCGTTCTCGGAGGTGGCGCCTGCCTGGTGGCGCCGATACTCTCCTCCGAGGGCTTTCCGCTCTCGGAGACTCGCGCCAGTCAAGGGAGAGGTCATATAGTAGATCACGGAAGTTCCCGCTCGTCTGGGATTTTTAGTATATCGGCGACGCGCCCAGCCCACATAGGACACGTATTTGATCATGCGCAGCAAGACATGCAGAAACCATACTCTTCATCGCACACATATGACAGACAAGAATTGCGCTAGACGCACGACGCGGCAAGACACTGCAGACGCTTCCGCCGATCTCTACGAGCACCTGCACGACTCGATGGCAGAGCCGACGCATCATGAGCAACCCGACGGCGACCTCCCACTTATCACAAGGACAGAGCTGCACACGGCGGTAAGAGGGCTCCGCCTGGGCAAGGCCCCCGACGTCAAGTGCTTCCGAGCAGAGATGTTGAAAGAGGGCGTGGAAGAACGTAAGCGTACACTTCGTATCTCTACAACACGATAATGTGGTCCAACGATTCGCCGCCGGCCAGATGGAAGAGCACAGTTGTCACAGTTATTCTGAAAGGTGGGGATCTCACGTTCTCTCACAATTTCCGCCCCATTTGCACGACACTACTGCTCTACAAGTTTTGCAGCACACTTCTCCAACCAACACTTGGATCCCGACAGACGGCTGACCAATCAGGCTTTGGACCAAGACACTCGACCGTCGATCATTTGTTCACTTTGCATATCTTCTGAGAGCGCGCGCGCGAATGGAACCATAACCTCTAGGCTGTCGCACTCGATGTCAAAAACGGATTCCGTCAATGTCGAACACATATGAGCATATGGTCAGCATTGCATTCAAGGCGCAAGGCGTCCAGCCAGGATGCATCTCACTACCTCAACGGCTGTACGAGAGACAAGTGGCCACAGTGAGGACTGACGTAACCAGCGGGCCTTTAAGTTTTTTTAAGGCGCACCAAGTAAGGCGACCCGCTCAGCTCCCTCCTATTCATCGCTCTTCCACCGTACAGTCTTGGTCCAGCCGAATGGCAGACCAAGGGCAAGGTAGCCCAACTGGGCTTCACTGCGGCAGCTGCACTCACCAACCTTCGCTTCGCCGACGGCGTGCTCCTGGCCAGCCACATTCCCGCTCGTCACTGCGATGCTCGACGACATCGTGCGTGCAGCACAAATACGGACTAGAGCTACACCCGCCCAAAACCAAGATATCGAGCAGCCCGACGAGACGGACCAGTAGGGCGAGCTCACGCACGGCGCGCGTCCAGGGCATGGACATCGACAGCTTCCCACACAAGGGCAATGTCAAATACATTGGTCGACTCATCAGATTTGGCGACGCGATGGAGACGGAAGTTCGCCACAGCACAAGAGTTGCATGGGCGTCGTGACGCTCACTTCGTGCGATCATGAGCTGACCATCAACCACTACTCAGAGGCGCACCGACCCGGGCCCTTCAACAGCGCAGCAAATCTTACAGCACTCTACGGAGCGGAGCAGAGACGTGGATGCTCACGGGACCTGTCCAAAAGCAGTTGCGGCGGACTCAGTGACGCATGTTCCACATGATTATCAAGACCCCACGACGACCAACCCAGCCGCCAAACGGACTTTCGCTGCACCTACGAGACCAAGGATGCCGACGGCACGAACAACGAAACTCTGGGCAACGACCACTGCTCCGACAACACCAGCGACGACGTGGACAGCACCCCGACACCACACGACACAGCTGAACCCCTGGTCAAATGCAGCGACCGCGACTAGATTCAACGTGCCACGCGGCGCGCAGGGCACTTCATGAATGACCACAGGATCAGCAGTTGGACGAAAACCGGCGGAACTCATGCTACAAAGGCTGCCCAGATACGAGCGCACAATGTGGACGTGGAGAACATCCAGGAATCCAGTAGAAAACCACGACAGCGCGGACACCGCCAGCCAGGCGGACAACGCACACGCTGTGACGACGTCCTTACCGCGCACCTACGGCAACACAGACCCGACCTGCACCCGACACCCACAACAACCACCGCAAAAGGCCAACCGAACGACCGCACTTAATTTCGATCGTGTCTTGAACACCAGAAAACAATTTCGTCGGCGTCCGCTTCTGCATCCACCGGGTCTCCCACAACCAGGATGCCCTACTCTTTCCCTTCCTTCAAGCCTCAACTTGTCATTCGACTCGCAGCCATGGTCTCAATAGGCCAGGACGACTGTCCGCAGATGTGCGTTCGATCGTTCGTTCAAGTGTATCTCGGCGAATAGCGCCCACCAGCGCGAAATACGGCCCAATATCGCCCAGTAGCGCCGGATAGCGTACAAGTGCCGCCCAACTGCGACCAACTGCACAAATAGCACCATGTGGAGGAGATGCGGTATTGGCGCCATGGGGGTGACCACAAGCTTCCGTGAGTTGCTTTCTAAGACAGGGTGGGAGGGGGCTCTGGAATCAAGAGAAGGGTCCTTGCGTTCTGCCCTGTCTTCGGCCTCCTGCCTGCGTTAACCTTCAGCCCCGCGCAGACAGCGGGGGGCGGGAGGGGGTGGGTTTCTTAGAGGCGTTCTCTTTGTTCCGTGGCTATGAGCAACTGATTGGGTGTTTCTAAGAAGCGGCGCGCTCCTGATGTCTTGGAGGGACGGCTGGGGCCTTCTAGGAAGCGGCCTTTCTAGGAAGCCCCCGCTCCCTCAAGCCCGTGTGCGCGCCGCCAATGCCCGCGGCCGTCCGCAGAACGGTTCAGGATGAGCAGCCGGTCTCGGAGAAAGCCCAGAGGTCCAGGACCCGATTCCCTGAGGAGCCCTTTCCCCCGATTCAAGGTCGGGAGCCCCCAAGCGGCGTGGTGACCACACCGCGAGGTGAATGAGACGGGGTTCGGGTTAACCCAATGCTTTTGGGTCTCGGGTCGTTCTCGGAGGACGTCTCGAGCGAATGAGGCCCCTGCGGTCCCGATGCCATGCGGTGATGGACCGCGCGGTGAGGTCGTCGGGGGCTCCGAGGTCACCACGCGGTCCGTGACTACACGGCTTTGGTGCGGGCCCAGAAGGGGGCCCCTCGGCAGTGGCTTGCGCGCGTGGATTTGGCCTCCCCGCAGCTCCCTGAAGCCGAGCACCAAAGGTCACTCTTGCTTACAGTCGGGGCCCTGAAGAAGGAACCCTTTCCGTTGGGGAGGGGCTCCGTGCTCTTTGATTGTTTCGAAGTGTGCCTCGGGTTTTCCGGGTTTTTCCATACGAAATCGAGGTTGAATTTGTGGGAAAGAGGGGCCTCGCTCCTTATTTAGGGTTCCTTAGGTCAGCGCCTCGACTGTAGGGCCACTCTTGTGTGTATGCGATTCTCCCTCCGGCGAAGGAGAGGGGCAAGAAGAGCACGGAGGAGAACGCCTTCGAGCGGCAGCTGGCGGGAGGGCAGGACGGGGGCACGAGGTTCGAGGACGTCTTCACGCGCAGCCTGGCGCTGCAGGGCGTGGTGGTGCCAGTGGGCTCGCTATTTTTTTCTTTCTCGGGTGCTTTTTTTCTGCTTTCATATCTGCTCCTCTCTCCCTCCTCTTGCATCCCCCTCCCCTCCTCCCCCCTTTTCCTCCTCCTCCGTTTCCTGTGTCTCCGCCTCTTCCGCCGCCTCCTCCGATCTGCTCCTCTCTCTCTCTCTCTCCTTCTGCCCCCCCCCCCTCCGCTCCTCCTCCTCCTCCTCCTGCTCCTCCTCCTCCTGCTCCTGCTCCTCCTCCTCCTCCTCCTCCTCCTCTCCTCCTCCTCTCCTCCTCCTCCTCCTCCTCCGCCCTCCCTTCCCCCCGTTTCCGCCTCTTTCTCCTTCTCTCTCCTCCCCCTGCCTCTGCTCAGCTCATTCCCCTTATTTGTTTCCCCGATCTTGGATGATATACTGTAGAGCGGATCTTTATATACATCGGAGGTTGGGGGGTGAGATCGAAGTGGAACGGAGAGCCCCCCTACCGGGAAATCGATTTCGGTTTCGTGTTCGTGCGTGCCGTGCGGGCGAGGCGAAGCTGCGTGGGCGGGCGAGAGAAAGTCTCCTGTGGCTGAGGCGCGGCCGGACCAAATGACTCCCTTCCGGGCGGCCGGGGCCCCGCGGTGTCCCGCCGGTGTCCCGCTGGTGTCCCGCGTGGCTGAGGCGCGGCCGGACCAAATGATTCCCTTCGGGCGGCCGGGGCCCCGCGGTGTCCCGCCGGTGTCCCGCTGGTGTCCCGTGTGGCTGAGGCGCGGCCGGACGATGTGGCCCGTGTCCCGCCGGTGTCCCGCCGGTGTCCCGCTGGTGTCCCGTGTCCCGTGTGCCAGCGCTTCAGTCTTCTGTGGCCAAATGGCGCCGTTAGCTGCCGTTCGCAAGTTGGGCAGGTTCCCAGGGGGAGGGCCGAATGGTACCAAGGCGCCAAAGAGCGAAGGGTGACGTAAACAACTCGACACCAACGCTCCCAAGAGCGAGCGGCAACGCAACTATTTCCACTGGCATTGTCACAACAACATTCACCACTGTTGCCCATTGCTGGGCCCCTCCCCCCCCCCAACCTCCTTATCACCCGCAGGGTGGTCGTATAGGTATATATATATACACCTATACGACCACCCTTCGGGTGATAAGGAGGTGAGGGGGGGGAGGGACCAACGTCGCACTCGATCGATCTCACTATCGAACTCACTACCGATCTCACAATCGATCTCAATCGATGGATCTCACAATCGATCTGACTATCGATATCACAACCGATCTCACAATCGATCTCACATTCGGTCTCACCATCGATCTCACTATCGAACTCACTATCGATCTCATTATCAATCTCAATCGATCGATCTCACAATCGATCTGGCTATCAATCTCACAATCGATCTCACAATAGATCCCACAATCGATCTCACATTCGGTCTCACTGTCGATCTCACGATCGGTATCACGACCGATCTCACAATCGTTCTCCCATTCGGTCTCACAATCGATCTCACTACCGATGCCACTATCGATCTCACAATCGATCTCACAATCGATATGACACTCGGTCTCACGCTCGATCTCACAATCGATATCACTATCGATCTCATTATCGATCTCACATTCGACCTCACTATCGGTATCACTATCGAACATCAAAATAAAACGCCAACATCATCATCACCATCATCATCAACAACATCAACATCAACATCAACATCATCATCATCATCACCACCACCACCATCATCATCATCATCATCATCATCATCATCATCATCATCATCATCATCATCATCATCATCATCATCATCATCATCATCATCATCATCATCATCATCATCATCATCATCATCATCATCATCATCATCATCATCATCATCGGGACACCGACGGGACACCAGCAGGACACCGGCGGGACACCGCGGGGCCCCGGCCGCCCGGAAGGGAGACATTTGATCCGGCCGCGCCTCAGCCACACGGGACACCAGCGGGACACCGGCGGGACACCGCGGGGCCCCGGCCGCCCGGAAGGGAGTCATTTGGTCCGGCCGTGCCTCAGCCACAGGAGACTTTCTCTCGCCCGCCCACGCAGCTTCGCCTCGCCCGCACGGCACGCACGGCACGCACGAACACGAAACCGAAATCGATTTCCTGGTAGGGGGGCTATCCGTTCCACTTCGATCTCACCCCCTCACCTCCGACGTATATGACAGAGAGAGAGAGAGAGAGCGTGATCCACCGCAGATTTTCTGTGGAAGATTCCCCCCCTCTTCCTCTGGAACCCAGGGGTCCCCCTCCCTCCGAGATTTCCCCCCTCCCCCCCCTGCTGGACCCCCCCCCCCTTCCCCTCGGCAACCCCTCTCCCCCCCCCTACCCCCCCCCCTCCGGAAAACCAGGGGGTTCACCACCGGTTCGAACTCCTCCCCCCCCCTCCAGAAAACCGGAGGGGGGTCACTATTGGTTGGAACCCCTCCCCCCCCCCCCAGAAAACTGGGGGGGGTCACTACCGGCCGGTTCGAACCCCCCCCCCTCCAGAAAACCGGGAGGGGTCACTACCGGTTCCCACTTTCCCCATTGTCCCACTGTCCCACTGTCCCCGCCGCTGTCCCACTGAGCTGTCCCACTGTTCCCACCACTGTCCCCACCACCGTCCCCACTGTACATCTGTCCCATTGTCCCACCACCGTCCTCGCCACCGTCTTCACCGTTGTCCCCACCACCACTGTCTCCGAAACTGTCCCACTGTCCCAACCACATTCCCACTGTCTCCAGACCACTGTCCCCACCACAACCGTCCCCACCACTTTCCCACAGTCCCCACCATGTCCAACTGTTCCCACTGTTCCCACCATTGTCCCCGCTGTCCCCACCAGTGCCCCCACCAGTGTCTCACTGTCCCCACTCTCCTCACCATTGTCCCAGCACGGTCCCACTCTTCCCACTTTCCCCACGGTCCCCACCACTGTCCCCACTGTTCCCACCACTGTCCCCACTGTCCCCGCCGCTGTCCCACTGTGCTGTCCCGCTGTCCCCACTGTCCCCACCACTCTCCCCAATGTACTACTGTCCCACCACCGTCCGCACCACCGCCTTCACCACTGTCCCCACCACTACCGTCCCACCATTGTCCCACTGTCCCCACCACCATCCCGCTGTCCCCTCACCACTGTCCCCACCACCACCCTCCCCACCATTGTCCGCACCACTGTCCCACTGTCCCCACCACCACCGTTCCCACAACAGCACTGTCCCAGTATCCCCACCACTGCCCAACTGTCCCGAGGAGCGGGAACCGTTTGCCGGCGGCGAGGGGGGAGGGGGGGGGGGTTCGGACCGGTAGTGTACCCTTACTTCGCTTTCTCAGGGTACTTGGTTGGGTGTGCCGTTTTTTTCTGCTTGTTCACGGGCGGTCTGTGGCCGTGGACGCCTTGTGGGCGCGTTGGGTGGACGTGCCGAGGCTTTCCCTGATGCCTGCCCGCGGACGCCTGGCCGGCGCCTCGTGCGCCGGGTGGTCGTGGCGAGGTCTTGCCTGAAGCCCGCTCGGGGGCGTCTCGTGGGCGCCTCGTGGGCGCCTCGTGCGCTGGGGTGGGGTGTGCCGTGCTTTGGCCTCGTGCCCGCCCCTGGGGGCGCCCTGTGCGCGCGCTTCGTGCGCCGGGCAGCGGTGCCGAGGCTCCGCCGAGGTGCCCGCTCGTGGCCGCTCCCGGGCGCCTCGCGGGGCGCACCCTGCGCGCTGGGCGGCCGCACCGGCAGCTCGGTGCGCACCGCGTCGCGCGGCCGAGCTCGGAGCTCCAGGACCCTTGGCATCGCTCGGACGTGTGCTTTTTTTTCTCGGCGAGGACCATCGAGGAGCCTCCTTGATCATCTGGCGAGACAAAGTCCGCGCACGAAGCCGAATAAAAGCACAGGGAATGGACGTCCGAGCGATGGCCAGAGCCAAGCTCGGAGCTCCAGGACCGAGTCCGTCAGCGCTCTGGGGTGGCGGGCGCGGCCGGCTGACCAGGAGGTGCCTGGCGCGTCGCCGAAGTGCCGGCGCTCCAGGTCTCGGCGAGCTCGTCCGGCCTCTCTCTCTTCGGAGCTGCCCCGAAGCCGTGCGGCCTGCAGGGCGTCCACCCGTGCAGGGGATGGGCCCGCCCAGCTGGTCGCCCGTGCTGCAGTGCGCCACCAGCACTGCCTCGAGTACCCTGCAGCACTCCGCGAGAGCTTGCGTGCGGGACTCGCCCACTCGCTGCCTCGCCTGCCGCCGCGCGGGTGTGCGCGCCGCCGGGGCCACGGCTAGAACATTGCCCTCCAGCTTGCCCTGGAGAGCCAGCAGCATGCGCGCCCCCCCCGCGCCGCGGGGGGGCGCGCCTTGCGGGGGGCCTCCCGTGTGCCTGCTGAAGGGAGGAGCGGTGCGACGAGTCGGATGACGACGGTACCGAGGAGGAGAGGAGGCGAAGAGGCGCAGAGGAGGTCTGGGAGGAGGAGGGGGGAAGGGAGATGCGAGAAGAGGGAGGGGGAGGAGAAGGTGGAGGAGGAGGAGGAGGAGGAGGAGGAGGAGGAGGAGGAGGAGGGAGAGTCGAAAGGAGCAAGGGGGATGGCGAGGGGCCTCCAAGGTGCTGGCCATCCTCTCTTCGGTGTTCCCCCTGGCCTCCTTTTCGAAGCACTACCTCGGCGAGTGGGCGAGGATGGAGCCGCTGATGACGTGCACGTTCGCGTCCTGCTGGTGCGGTCACGACACCGCGCGGCGGCCGCAGCTGCTGGGGGCGCTGTCGCTGTGGACGCCGGTGGTGCTGCTGCCTTTCTGCACCCGCGGTCGGTGGGCCACGTCGGGGGACCGCGGAGGGCCTGCAGGAGGAGCAGCCACGGGGGGGAGGTGGAGCCGTGTGTGTGTGTGTGTGTATGGGAGAGGATCGGGGTGTCTGGGGGGGCGCGCTGGGGGAGGGCCTTTGGATGCCTCCAGCTCGGGGCCTCTGCAGGGCCTAAAGGGCGACCTCCTGGGGCCTCCGACCGCTGGAGGCCTCCGGGCCTTCCAGAGGCCACGGAGCCACCAGGATGGCCGAGAGCGTGCCGAGCTCTTTCGTTTGGGGGCCTCTGGGGCGCATGTTTCGTCGCTGCTCAGCCCTCCTGGCTCTCCAGGCGGTCGACCGACCACGGTTCTTCACGCTGGCGGGGGCTTCGCTGGAGCTCCCGATGTTGCGCCAGGTGAGGGGCGTCTGCAGAAGAGGTTTCGCATGCAGACGTACGCGCGTAAGCTGCCCGCGCATGGCCGTGCGGTGTCTCGCCATGGAGACGGGGTGCCAGAAGGAAAGGGGTCCTGCTCTTTCCCCCGTCTTAGGCCTTTGGTGCCCTCCCCGGGCCCTAGGGCCGTCGAAAACCGACCCAGGACGAACAGCTGGTCTCGGGGGAAGGCCGCGGTATCATCCAGGACCCGCTTGGTCCTCAGCACCCCCGTGCCTCCCTCAAGCCGAGAAGGCGGTCTCTCTCTCTCTCTCTCGTTCTCTCTCTCCTGGCACACGGTCACCGCGTGCCAAGAGAGGGCCCCTCCCAGGATTGCGAGGGCCACTGCATGCGGCCGCCGTGCACACTGTGCGCAGGCAGGGCCCCTCCTTAGCCTTTGCGGGCCCCTCCTTGGCCCGCGGGCCCCTCCCTGGCTCGCGGGCCCCCTGCGCGCGTGCTCCGACCCGCGGGTCGCCCGCTTGGGCCTCCCTCTTGTACTCTTCCCCCCCCGGCCGCGGCCTGCCCCGCGGGGCCGAGTCCCGACGGACCGTCGCCCCCACCCCGGCGCCGACGGCCCTTGGGCCTTGTGTCACCACCCACCAAACCACCCCAACCCAACCCGAAGGCCTCAATTGGCACTCCATTTCCAGTGGGGGGGGTCGGGGAACATCGAGAACACACACATGGAACCCGTACCCCCCCAACCCGAAATTCGGGTCTTCGGGTTGGGTTGGGGTGGTCTGGTAGGCAGTCAATTGTGGGGAGTGCTGGCACGCGGCGCGGGGCGGCCGCTGTGCCTCGCGGGGTAACCGGTCCTGGCGGAGTGCGCCGCGGCTGCCCAGAGATTGCCCCTGCGCAGGTGCTGCCGGCGGCCCTCACGCTGGTGGTCCTCCGCACGGCCGCCAACGCCGCGGGCAGCGTGGCCGCCGGCCTCCTGGCCAGGCGGGCCTTCCCCTGGGCGAGGCCCTCGGGGGCCAGCGTGCGCTGCACCTGGTGCACGCTGCTCGCGCAGGCCGGCGTGACGCTGGGGCTGGTCCTGGAGGCTCCTGGGCGGGGCGGAGCGTGTGATCAGCCAGAGGAGGGGCGAGCGAGCCTTGGCCTCCAGAGGCCAAGCAGCGGATCCTCGTCTCGCGTCCTCGTGGCATGCCTTTCTCCTCCTCCTCCTCCTCCCCCTCCCTCCCTCCTCCTCCTCCTCCTCCTCCTCCTCCTCTCCTCTCCTCCTCCCTCCTCCTCCTCCTCCTCCTCCTCCTCCTCCTCCTCCTCCTCCTCCTTCTCCTCCTCCTCTCCTCATCCTCCTCCTCCGCCTCTCCTCCTCCTCCTCCTCCTCCTCCTCCTCCTCCTCCTCCTCCTCCTCCTCCTCCTCCTCCTCCTCCCCCTCCTGCCCGTGCTCCTCCCGCTCCTCCTCCGCCTCCTCGTCCTTTTCTGGCTCTCACTGGTTCTGGCTCTGCTCCTCCGTGTGCTTCTCTTGCTCCTCCTGCTGATCCCCTTCACCCTCATGCTGCCGCCCGTGCTCCTTCCCCACAGTCCGAAACGGCTCGCAACCTCGAGGCGACATCTCCCGCGCGGAGAGGGCAAGCCGATCCCGCCGGCTCTGCTTCCGCGGACCCCCTTTTTCTCCCGACCCCGGAGATACAGCGCACCTTCCCGGAGTGGAGCCGGCCCTTCGCGACCCTGAGCTCGGGGGACACAAACTGGCAGAAGTAGAACAACGCGGAGGCCCGCGCGGATCTCTTGGATCGGCGGCGGGCCCCCCTCCCCAGCGCGCGGAGCGCGCCAGCGGAGGCGCCGCCAGGGGGCCCCAGCGCCGATCCGAGGTGTCCACGCGGACCTACGCGTTGTTCTGCTTGTGTCATCGTTTGTCCCCCCATGGATCATCGGCGTGGTGGTGCTCAACCAGCTGCAGGGGCCCGTGCTGTGCCGCCTGGGGCTGCAGCGGATCCTCCGGGAGGAGGGCGCCTCCAGCGGCAGCGGCAGCTCCTCGGAGTCGGAGGAGAGCTCCTGAGAGGGCCGGAGGCTGCGAGCCCGGAGGCGTCCCGCTGGGGGGTCCGTGCTGGAGGCCCCAGCAGGCCCTCCCCCCGAGGGCGCGGCAGGCCGCGGCCAGCGGTGCGCTGGGGCGGCGAGACCCGTCGCCTTCGGCCTCTGACCCCGGTTGCTCGAGCCCACTGTTAAACATTTGTTGTTGTTTTGTTCTCTCTCTCTCTCTCTCTCTCTCTCTCTCTCCTTGCTCTCTAGCTCTCTCTCTCTCTCTGTCTCTCCCTCTCTCCCTAGCTCTCTGTATGTATATACGTAACCCCCTGCAGTTTTGCGGATACGAGTGAGGGCGGCGGGGTCGTCGGCAGTTTGCGAGGCCGGCGCCGATGTTTGAACACGTTGCGCAACGAGCCCGTCGCAGGCGCCGAATTTTCGTCAAAGCAATGTGGGTGCGTCGCGGGTGAGTTGCGGTTGGGTCGCGGGGTGGGTCGCGGGTGAGGACGACCACAACAACAACGCACCGACAATCCGCACCGCGAAACCCCACTTCAGCCACGCGCCCAGGGACAGTGAATGCACGCTCGGTCCCCTCATTCTGATCTTTAAGACTGTGAATTTGCACGCCCGCCCCTCCAGGGCTCCGACACGCAACTCCATGACATCTCGCGCATTTCCCGGTGCCACCCTCCCATGCCTCCAAGAGCCCCCTGGGAGAGCCTCGAGACGCTCTCCCTGGCCTCCCAGACGGCCCCAGGAAACTTAACTTCGGGACGGCCGAAAAGGGCCCGGTGTTCCACGAGCACCCAAGAGAGCGCCAAGAAGCCTCGCCCCCAATCCAAAAGAGCTCCGAGGAAGCTCGAGAGAGGCCAACATCTTTCAAAAACCAATGGAAACTGTATGTTTATATCGTTCTGGCATTTTCGCCTCCGATTCCGAGGCTTGCGTGTGGCCCCCCAGTGCGCTCCAAGATACTCCCCAAAGGCGCCCCGAGCGCACCCAAGGGGCTTCCAGAGGCCACAAGAGACTCCAATGACGCCCGAAGAAGCACCAACGAGGTTCCAAAGACGCTCCCAAGAGGCTCCGAAGAGCACTCAGGAGGCACCCGAAAGGCCCTCAAGAGGTTCACAACGGCCCAAGAGCCCCCAAGAGGCCCCCAAGAGCCCCCGAGTCGGCGGAGGCATCTTGGGTTGGAAGACTCGAAGTGTCAGCTTGGGTTCCCTCTCTTTGGGCCCCTCTTCAGGCTCCCTCGGGCCATCATCGGGACTTCTTGGGCCGTTTTGGGGCCCTTCTGAGCCGTCTGGTCGCCGTCTGTGGCCGTCTTGGCGCTCTCTTGGGGTTCTCTGGGAGGCGTCTTCGGCTGTCGGAAGTTATCAAAGGTGACGACGATCAACTGTTCCTACACTTATGATGAATCAGCAATTGGTGGCATCCTCATGGCCTCTTGGGGACGCGCCTTTGAGCGTCTCGGGGTGCCTCTTGCGTTTTGTGGAGGCGGGCCCCCCCAGCGGCGCCTCGGGCGCCGCCCCTGGCGCGCGTCGCGCGTCAGGGGGGGAGGGGGAAGGTCGAGCTCCGATGCAAGCAGTCCGCGCGGAGCTCCGAAAGTTTGTGCTGATGCCGCTGCCTGCTCCTCCAGAGGCCGAGCCGAGCCGCCCAGCCTCCCCGCCAACAGGAGGAGGCCGTCGCGACCCTCGAGAGGGACGAGGAGAGGCTGGAGTCCGCCAGGCGCGCGGGCGCTCAGGTGGAGGATAGAGATTCGAGGGTGCAGGTGTTTGGGCGTGCTTGGCGCATCTTGATTTTTCTTCTGGCCTGTCACTCCTCCTCCTTCTCCTCCTCCTCCTCCTCGCTCTCCTTTCCCTCCCTTGAGGGGGGTGAGAGGTGGCTACCTAACTGCACTGCTGCATTGGTTCCCCGTTTTCCTTTCAGGTGTGTCAGGGAGGGAGCCGCTCGGAATTCGCAACCTCTGCAGGCTGTTCAAGTCAGCGCTCGCTTCCCTCAATTAGGCTTTGCCTTACCGGGCCTCACCCGTTAGTGAAGAACTGGTGGGTGTTGTCGCCGGTTTACGTCGGGGTTCCCTGGGTTTCTTTGGTTGTGTTCCCTGACAAGGGGAACCCTAGGGGTCCTTGGTGTTGTTTCCTTACGAGGCGCTTCTCGGGCTCCCTTGTTTCCTCTGCCTTGCTCCGTGGTTCCTTGGTCCGTTGGTCTTGGCTCCTTGGTTCCTTCGTCGTGTGGTATGGCTTCCTTGGCTTTGGTCCCTCGGTTCCTTGGCCTCGGATGTTCGGTTCACTGGTATGGAATCCTCAGTTCCTGTGTCTTGATTCCTCGGATTCGTGGTCTGGGTTTCTTGGTTCCTTGAGCTTGGTGCCTTTGTTCCCGGGCCTTGGTTCCTGGGTGCTTTGGGCTTGGTGCCTTGCTTCCTTGCTTCCTTTGTCTTGGTTATGTTGCCTTGGTTCCTTGGTTCCTTAGTCTGGAATTGTTGATTCCTTGATCTTGGTTTCTTGGTTTTGTGGTTCTGTGGATTCGGTTCCCTGGTTCCTTGGGCTGGAATCCTCGGTCTTGGTTCCTTCCATTCTTGGTTCCTTGGTTCCTTGGTCTTGGTTCCTTGGCTCCTTGGTCTGGGTTCCTTGGTTTCTGGCGTCTTGCTTCCTTTGTCTTGGTTCCCTGGCCTTGGTTACTCTGTTCCTTGGTCTGGATTCCTGGGTTCCTTGGTCTGGGGCCGTGCGTTGGTTCCTTGGTTCAGTGGTTTGGTGTTGGATCCTTGGTTCTGGTTTCAGGGTTCTTTCGTCTCGGTTCCTTTGTCTTGGCTCCTTGGTCCCTTGTTCTGTGCTGCTTAGTTCCTTCGTCTTGGTTCTTCGCTTCATGTTTTGCAACGCCAAGCAACGCCACGCAATGCAAATCAAACCCAAGCAACGCTAAACAATGCCAAGACCTGCCAAGCAATATCAAGCAACGCTACGCAATGACACGCAATGCTAGGCAATACCGAGCAACACCCAGCACCGCCAAGCAATGTCAAGCAACGCCAGGCAATTCTCAGCTCTGCCTCGCAATGCCAAGCAGTGCCGAGCAACCCTAAGCAACGCAAAGCAATGTAATTTCAAGCAATGTCGCTTAGGAAGCGTTTCTCTACGTGGGGTCGCGCTGGGTTCATCTGGCTAGCCGATGTGATTTCTCACACCGGATGGTCCCATGCTTGCGCCCAGGATACAAGTGACGCACGTGGTACTTCTATCCTCGGTGTTCGGGGTTGCACGTGTCACATCTGCGCTGTCTTGAAAATGTATGGCTCACATGCTGGCGTTAAGAGTGAACATGCAACACGTGGTTGTGCTTTTGCACTTTTCGGGCTGGCATGTGTCAACTCTGTGTGCTCTTGCAATGTGTGGCCTCATGCTGGCGCTCAGCTTACAAATGAAGCAACTGGTCTTTTAACACACATTTCGGGGTGCCGCGTATTTAATTTCTGCCGTTTACAGTGTGTGACCCCTTGTTGATGCTCAGGCTACAAGTATAAGACTTTGCTTTTCTCATAGGCGTTTCGGATCGACACGCCTCACCTCTGTGCTTCCTTGTGGTGGATGGCTCCATGTTGACGCTCAGTCTACAAGGAAACCTGCTGGTGTTGATCACGGCTTCTGGAGTGGCTTGCTGCTTTTCTACTGTCTTGCAATGTCTGACCTTGTGCTTGCGTTCAGAGCACAAGTTGAACATGTTTGTTCCCATCCCTCCTTGGTTGGGCATTCGTTTTGAATAGAGCACCGCGGTCGCGTCTCCTCCTTCCGCCTCCCTCTTGTCTCCTCTTGCCTTGTGCGTACCTCTTGTGTGTGCATCTCGCCTGCGGTCTCGCGGGGTGTGCTGCGATCTGCGAAACTGTCGCCGGTTTCGAGGGCTGCCGGTGGGTCCAGCGGAGTGAGGCACCGCGCAGATCTGAGCGGTAGCTCGCCGTCCCTGGGGGGCTGGGATCTGCGAACTTGTCGTCACTTTCGAGGGCTGCTGGTGGGTCCAGCGGAGTGAGGCACCGCGCAGATCTAAGCGGTAGCTCGCCGTCCATGGGGGGCTGTGATCTGCGAACTTGCCGCCACTTTCGAGGGCTGCTGGTGGGTCCAGCGGAGTGAGGCACCGCGCAGATCTGAGCGGCAGCTTGCCGTCCCTGGGGGGCTGGGATCTGCGAACTTGTCGCCACTTTCGAAGGCTGCTGGTGGGTCCAGCGGAGTGAGGCACCGCGCAGATCCGAGCGGTAGCTCGCC